ATACATATATATATACATAAATATATATATACAAATATATATATACATAAATATATATATACATATATATATATACATACATATATATACATACATATACATATACATAAATATATATATATACAGTACAGAACCCGTTATCTGGAAATCAGAAAACCGGAAAACCAAAAAACCGGAACGAAATTCGATAAATTTTCTCGCCATTTTTCTTAAAAAATTTTTTTTTCCCTCATAAGATTTTAGGATTTTTCTTTCTTTTTTGAAAGATAGTTACCTTACCATCATTTCAGAAATAAACATTAGTGTATTACGTCATCGTTTTTTCTTCTTTTTAAGATTATTTCCAAATATTATTTTTTTTTTAGTTGGGTTTAACAATAAAAAAACGGCTTTTTGTATCGATTTAGAAAACCGGAAAAATCAGTTATCCGGAATAGTGATGGTCCAGATCGTTCCGGATAATCGGTTCCCTACTGTATATACATAAATATATATATATATACATATACATATGTAAGTTTAAAATGTAGAAAAAACATTGAAAAAATTACAGAATACTGAAAAAATATAAGAAAATTATTTAAAAAAACATATATATATAAAAAAGTTCAATAAAAATCCGGGAAAAAAAAGATATAATCACTTCATCAGCTCACACGATTATATTCACCAAAAAGAGTGCTTTCTAAATACTGTATCAATATAGCCAAAGCAAAATATATCAATTGTACCGTTACCCTTCAAACTTTGGCAAGGCTGTGATCTTTTAATTGAATTTTGGTAACAGTTACCCAGGTTCAAAAATAGACAAATAACTAATGAATTACAAGAAACATTTAACAATAAAAATTAAATTTTATTATAACTATAAATTTTCAACAAACACAACCCCAATCATTTCCAGATGCCTTCATGGGCATAAAATTTCCAATTTATACACTTTTAAATTTCCAAATGGTTATACTCAAGATAAAACTTTTCGATAAAAAGCACTTTTAAATTTCATATGCACCACATTCAATTAATTCACACTAAAAGGGATATTTATGAAATAAAAATCCTAGCTCATTCTAAATTTACAAAAAACATTCAAACTTTAGGTCATTATATTCCTACAACAGATAATTAACATTAAATATCCAAGGCTCATCTTAAAATAGGTATCTTAACACCCGATAGAAATAATTTAAAATACGGAATAAAATGCTCTTCTAAAAAGTTATTAAAAAGGTAAGAAATTAGAGTTTGTAAATACAAAAGGAACTTGCAGATCACCTTCTGGAACGTCCACCGGGTCTGCAGCTAGACTTGTGGACTAGGAGAACTTCGACTTTCTGATCGCCATTCAGTTCTTTAGAAACATACGATTTTCTGCCGAGGACCGCTCGATTCTTGCCAACAATCTTGAACTTAGCGACATTCAATCTATCACTTCCCGTCAACTATTCTGAGGCTTTAGATCAACTTTCTTCCAGACAACAGCTCATCCGACCAATGTTGCGTACTTAGTCCATCCAGAGACTTTTTCCAAACATCAACCTTTCAGCATTTCAGCCTAGATCAACTCACTCCGAGACTCCAGCTATATCCAAACTCATCCTCGATGATACCGGCTCAGAACACACTTCTAGCAGCCATGATAGATCCTGTCAGCGGTGATGTTTCCACCCAACATTCCATCGGGCACGATCCGCACTCCTGTCGTACTGCTTTTTCAGCCACTCTTCACACCCCTTATACTTTTTTCACCAAGGCGAAATAATCCATACTGACCTGTTTACTCGCTCAAAAGTCCTCCCGCATCCAGGGGACATCAGGACAAAAAAAGATCCACAAGAAAAACCAGCTACAAACCCACTAATACGCCATAAAAGCGATAATCCAATCCTCCTTAAATGTTAATACAATTTATATCCACAATCTACCCTAAAAATCCCATTTTAAAAGGATAAATAAAAATTTCTCATGAAATATCATAATTTTGATTGCATTTAAATTTTATCATAGTGGTGCCATCTATTGAAAAATAACCCTTCTTTGAAAAGTATTGATACAAAAAAAAACTCCAATAAATTCCTATTTATTACACAATACAATAGTGTGAGGAGCATTAAAATTTTTCTTCTTGAAACAAAATAGAATAGAACACATTGTAGAAAACAAAATGTGAAGAAAAAACAACAAAACATGAAACGAAATCTATAAGGCGAGTAGCGAATTCAATTGAACTTACATGGACGGGAAAATTTTCAAGAATAATTTAAAATATTTTAGTAATAAGATTGCCAGATTACAAATTATTAAAACAAAATAGAATCTTATGAGTTAATTTGTCAAAATAATGAATTAATGAGTTAATTTGTCAAAATAATGAATTAATGAGTTAATTTGTCAAAATATTCTCAACACATAACAATTTATTAGCAGAAAAATGAAATGTGAAAATATTGGGTTAAAAAATTATTTTAAAAAGTGATTAAAAATTGCTTGAAACAAACCTTTTTAGATTTAATATTCAGCACTCTTTCAAGATGAAAAGTATCAGCTTCTCTTGAGGAAAATTTTAATGATACAGAGTTGTCCACACTAGAATCTTCAGATTCAAAACTGTACACAGGCATCTCTGTTATATTGATATCTAGAAAATAAAAATTGATCAGAACATTCTTCAAAACAATGGAAAATTTTAAAAGAAAAACAATTAGTTCGCCATTTTGACTATGCACTTAAATCAAAAACTGCAATATCTAAATACCATATTTATTTGAATTATAAGCTGCACCCGAAACTGTTAACAGTATTTTATAAAAAAAATTAAACATTTTGAAAAAAGGTTTATTAATATTCAATATTTATGAAATTAAAAAACATTTAAATGCGAATTAACAAAGAGTAAATAATTTATTTCAACAGAATTGAAAACGTTTAAATATACACATGAACTTGTAATTACTCTTACTGTCAAAAATAATGTTTCGAAAACTCAATTTCCTTCCCTAAACTCTGCTGCCAATTAAAAGTTGTATCTGATTTTCAGTAGCATTAGCATTGGGAAAAAATGCAATTCAGATTCAATTAAATACAGTAAACAATTTTCTCTAAGTAATGAAGATAAATACAATTTAGCTTATCTCATTTTCAAATAATGTGATAAAAAATTTTTAGACATAGAGGGTTGTTGTACAACATGTCTTCTCAGAACATCTAATTTTTGCTTCCATAATGATCCATTTTACAGACACTAGAGGGATAAGTAAAGGCAGGGATACAAAATATATCAATTGCATGAACAAGGTTCAGGGGAAATTCAGGTAGCCCTAGGGAAATTCTTCTTTAAATTAAAAAAAAAAAATTTAAATGGAAAATTATCCCAAAGAAAAAAATTGTACAAGAAAGAAGAATGAGGAATGTCTTGATGGAGATAAGTGATGTGCTCCTCTTCCCCTCCTTTGCCCCTACAAAGAAATATTACTCCTGAGAATCTAATCTACTTGGGATGGGCAGATTCAGACCAATACAAGTGTGAGTGAACTCATCTCAACATTTATTTAACTAAATTATCCTAATTTCATGCTAATTTTCTGTCGCCTAATAATTATTGCTTAAAAATGCATTCAAGTATACAAAAAATAGCTGTTTATTTGAAACTTAATGATTTCATAAACTCAACAAATCGGTTGCAAAATCAATAAATAACGAAAAAATATCTATTCCCATGATTATTTATATGCAATTTTGGCAATGACCATGAAATTAGCAAAAATTAGTTTAAAATTAAGATAATTTTTTTACATAAAAAACATACTAGTTTGAATGGACTTTAAAAGCTAATGCATTAAAGAGTTGCACTCCTAGCAGTCTGCAATGACATTTTTGGTTATGGGTAGCAATGCAATTCTCAATCTTTTTGATGTGCCCTACTTTCCCTTACAGTTTTGACAGTTAATTTTGTAACACTCTGTATAGATATATAAATAAATAAATACTTTATTTAAAGCACAGTTAAGTAAGATATTATTAACATGAGACAAAATTTTGATCTAAAGTTGTCACTCCACTCCAGCCTCACACTCCTTGATTCATCAGGAATGTTTGTAAATTTTTTTAAATATTTCTTCCTCTGGTGAAGTTATTTTCACACAGAAAGATTAGAACAGATACAATAACTGATTTACAATGAATGTCTGCATTTGACAGTTGTTTTGCCTAAAGACATATTTTAGGACACTATAAGAATTCAATTGAATTGAATCTAGGGTTTAATATCAGGTTAGGGTTTAATCTTAATGTAGGGTTAATTGAATGTAGGGTTTAAGGCCCAACAAAAGACATGCTGCACCAAACAAACAGTTTTTAAAACAAAACTAAAGGTGAGATGCAAACTCATCTTATTAAATATATGAAATTGTTAAAATGATACATAACAAATGCAATCAAAAGTGAATAAAATTAAATAAAAGTGTACAACTTTAACAGTGCACAAAATCAATTGAAAAACTAATCATAATGAAATACTAAGTAAATAGAATTAGGTAAAAACAGTTATATACAGTATAAAATACAAATAGCACATAAAAATGCAAAGATCATGCAGAGCCTGACGAAAGAAAGAGCCTAGAAAGTTTAGCTTCTTCATTGATCTATCGTATGAATACAAAAATCTATATTTCGTAAATCCATGGATTTCTAGGGTGGAACTCAGTTTAAGTTTTGCAATTACGATGGACAAATTTGGCCAATGAAAAGCTTGAATTTTTACATATCACAAAATTTAAATACTTCCATAAAGTTCAGTTTTTCATTACTGAATTTAATTTTTTAATTAATAAAAAAAAATCTACTTTGAAGCTATTTTCAAAATCGGAAACTTTATTTTTCTCTGAAATTTAATTGAGCAGTGAATTATGTGTTTTGTTTCTTCTGAAATTTAGACATTTATTAAAATAATCAAGTTAAATAAATATTTTTAGAAAATTTTTTTCTCTCCAACCTTGCAGACTTAATTTTTTAAGGACAAATACTATTTTTCACATATGATAACTTTCCATATAATTAACACGTTGATTGCCATGTCACCCATATTCGGGTGACAGCAAAGTTTCTGATCAGGCACTTATTTGACTACTTCAGAAGGATATTAGTATGTATTTGAAAAGACATTTCACAGGAAGTAACAAAAGTATTAAATTGTTATAAAAGTAATATGAAAATCGTTTATTAAGATAATTATTTAGAATGTAAAACTTTAAAGCATTTTATACAAAGCTGGGGTTGGTCGGAACAACTTGGACAATAAGTTGGTATTTTCTTGAAATTCTTTTAGGACTTTGATCACCTCTTTGTTGGTGTGGGACAGCTTCTCTGTCCTCTGTGACCAATTCACTCATAACAGAGTATCCCCACATTGGGTACCTGGACATATCGGTATCGGTGGAAATGAGCTAGCTGATGAAGCGGCGGGCTGGCTCTAATGCAATTTACTGGGGCCCTGAACCTGCACTGGGAATTTCTCCCACCTGTTTTAGGGCATCCATATTCAAGATCTATGGCAAAATTGCCCATGAGCAATGGTGCACTGCTGACGGTCAGAGACAAGCTAAGGAGCTAAATTGTGACTGTCCTAGTGTACGTCAAAAAGAGCTTTTAAAGCTTAATAGAAACAGTTTAAGGAAGATCATTGGTCTACTTACTGGACACTGCATCCTCAGGAGACACATACACATAATGGGAATAGAAACCAATTCTCTTTGTCGGGGTTGTAATCTTGAAGAAGAGACATCACGACACATACTCTGTGACACTGATTATTTCAGCTATAGGGCTTTCATGCTAATCATGATTTAGGGTTTGGGTACTATAGACCTCTGGTCGATGTGCCCCGCTCGTTAGAGCTGCCCAACCTCTAAGTCTAAGATCTGCTCATTTGACATCATTTACCTGCATAACATTGTCTCCAAGCACCTCTAATGCTTTTTTTATGGAATCATTTTTAGGAACAGTGATATTATGCTGATTCCGACAAAGACAAGGATTTGTTATATTTTCAGTCAACCCTAAATTTCGGAATAATCCATACCACATTTTACTGCATTAAGTTCAACAACAACTAGTGTTTTCAATGTTGCAGATGTCTGTTGCCTTGGTGAAACAGCATGAATGCTATGATTTTTTTGTACTTGGTACCATGATAGGAGCAATTTTGGAGGATAAAATTTTCAAGTCCTGCGTCTCTCCATTGATGTTTGACAATCCTGTTATCTGTTTTGGATACCATCTCCCCTTTTCTTAGTTTGCAATGAAGAATATCACTTGGGAGGAACTTTTTGTCATTCTTAAGTGTTCTCACTACATGGGTCTTGCGCTTTAGGCATAATATCGCTAATTCATAATTCGTATAAAAATTATCAATGTAAAATGTTCGTCCTTGATAGAAAAGTTTCTCTGCGAGCTGAAGACATACGCTGTGCGCTAATCCTGTTTCTCTAACACCTTCAGCTGATTTACCAGAATAAATTTTCATCTTGTCTCATGTATATCCCGTGCTTGAGCATAATTGAAATAATTTGATTCCATATTTGTGCGCTTTATTTGGTATATATTGTTTGAAGATGAGTCTCCCATGCCATGGAATCAATTTTTCATCAATAGCAATGTGTTTTTCAGGCGTGAATATTTTTTTATACTTTCATTCCAGTTTGTTGAAAAGTGAAGGTATATTTCCAAGTTGATCTTTACGAGCAAAGTACACATTATTGGCAAAATTAAAATTACTCAATAGTAACACGAATCTGTTTCGTGACATAATAGTACGCGATAATGAAAGTTATACAGAGAGCTTTTCGAACAATAATTGGAAAAGCGGTTTACTTTTACAAATCCTAATGTATAAAATCAGTCCCAAGAATTTTTTATTTCTTGAGGATAAGTAGGTGTCTAGTTATGCATCCATGAACACAGTGTTAGCTCAGATTTATATACCTTTTGTTCCGTGTGTCAATTTGTTTCCGATACAAGTAGGTCTATTATTTCGTCATCAGCGAACAGTTCAAACACATAATATGGATTAACATCACCAGGTAATTGTCTAATGATGCCGTCTGCCTCAGAAAAAGAGAATTTTATTTTCCTCAGTAACATCAGTTCTTCTTTCTTCATCAATGACTGATTCTTGCAAAATCTCGTCAATGGTATCTTCATTACATTCAGTATCACTAAGATTGCACTGATGAATAGAATTATACAATGTAATTCTATTTATATTTCTCGGAAATCTTATTTCTTTCTCATCGCTGCTATCCGAATTTGTGTAAGCCTTGTAAAAGCTATCTTGCTCACTGCTATTTGACTCACTACACCCCCAAAAGTAGGGGGTAGCCGCAATCTGGGAAATATGGTTCCAACAGTCTACAGTTTTGACCCCATAATATTAATTTTACTTTTTGCTTATTTTGCTATATATCTAAAACTTTTTAAGCAAATTTGAAAAAATTTTGCATAGATTATAAAATTTGTTTGTCCAAAGATAATTTCATGCAAAGAATAAGCCTTATGAAATATTTGTTATATTTTATTATTATATTTAATAATGGTCACAAAAAATTTGCAATAGTAAGGTATACAATTTTTTGCATCATTTTA